GCAGGGAGCCCGATGCGGGACTCGATCCCGGGACTCCAGGATCATGACCCGAGCCGAAGGCAGTCGCTTAATCAACTGAGCCACCCAGGCGCCCCTCCCTCCATTTGCTTTTAAGTAAAATTCTACGCATGCATCAGCGCTGGCAAGGATGATTCTTCCCTAGCTATGGAGATGAATTGAAGGTGATTACTTCTGACAATTTGTAAATGTATATAAAAAGCCTTAAAATTTAACTCAGCAATTTCTCTGCTGAGAATTTATCCTTGAGGCAATGATTTAGAATGTATGAAAATATGCTGCAAGGATGTTCCTCGCAGCATTAACTATAATATCAGACAACAAGGAGCAACCCCGGCCGTCCAACGTGGCGGGAATAGTTGCAGAGTGACTATATGTGACGCAGTGTGCCGCCGATAAAAACCAGGGCGTGGAAGTGTCACATTACAAAGAGTTTATGATACTCTGTTGGGTGGGGAAAGCAGCTTTAAAATCAGGACAGGGGCACCTGGGTGGCTCAGTCGTTAAGCGTCTGCCTTCGGCTCAGGTCCTGATCCCAGGGTCCTGGGATCGAGCCCCGCATCAGGCTCCCTGCTCAACGGGAAGCCTGCTTCTCCCTCTCCCACTCCGCCTCCTTGTGTTCCCTCTCTCGCTGTGTCTCTCTCTGTCAAATGAATAAAATCTTTAAAAAAAAAACATAAAATCAGGACGGATGGCTAGCTAGCTAGCTGTCGTTTACCTACATGTGCTCTGAGCGTCGAAATACATAATGATGACTAACTTCTATTGATCCCTTACTACCAGAAGCATTTTACATGAACTCACACCATCCTTATAACAGCCCAAAAGGTGGGTGGTATTATTTTTCCTCGCAGGACACATGAGGAAACAAAGGCATAGGGAGGCCAAATAAACATACCCAGGATCACAAAGCTGGTAAGTGGCCAAGGTTAACATTTGACCAGGGAATCTGAATCCAGAACACAGCAGCACTGTGGTACCATGCCCCTTGGGGCAGGAGAGAAAAGTCTGGAAGGGAGATGCTCCCATCGCATCATGTTACCCATGATGGGAAAGCTTTTCAGTTTTCTTGCCCTGCATTTTTTTTTCCTATTTGTAATTGCAATTTTCTGATTTTTTTTTTTTAACTTAAAAATATTACAGGCTCATCCTCCCTAGCAGCCTTAGATTCTCTAACACAGATAGTTCTCACACCTCGTGGCTCAGGCCACACAGTCCCCAGCTGAGTGAGTGACGGGTCATGTGCAAAGCCACTCAGCCCCCCTCCTGCTCCCTGCCCTGGCTCCCGGCGCCCTGGCCAACCTTGCCAGGGGGGCGGGCATCAGCATGGCGTGCCCCCTAGAGCTGGCACCCCCCATTACATGGATGACGGTAATATTGTATTTCCTCCGGGATCATTCCAGAGGAGATACTTCTTATTGTCAGGCACGGGCATATGTGTAATTTCTCAAGTCCCCCTTTGTACCAACTGACCGAAGCTAAAGTGATTTTTTGGACACTAAAGTCAATTTGTCACAGTGATGCATTGATCTAATGATTCCCCTCATAAAACTAATTCCAAAATGCAGTCTGTCCGGAAACTTGCTTTTTCCAGCTGTAATCTTTTAACCTCTTTGGAAGATTACTTTTTGCCGGCTCTTTCATGCTGGCTGCTTGGCAAAGGAAACAGGGCTCTGACTGAGACCTGAGCTGGAGGTATAATGGCTTCGTGGGCTAACCCGTCCTGGACAGAGCACCCTGCGACAGCGACGGGGGGCTGCCGGCTGCATGGGTGCTCCCCTCCCCACTGTGTTCCTGCCCAGGACCGGCCCTGGGGGCCCCACGTCTCCTGGGGAGTGCCCTGCCGCCCTTGGAGCTCTCCTGCAGACCAGCCCCAGGCTGAGCCCCAGCAGCCCCCCTACTTCCCGACCTCTCTTTACCGACTGCTGCTTCTTACCCTTAGGTATGTCTGGGAGAAGGATGGGGCCGCCCTGGGCACCGAGAGCAACCCCCGCATCCGTCTCGACAAGAACGGCTCCCTGCACATCTCGCAGACGTGGTCGGGGGACATTGGCACGTACACCTGCCGGGTGCTGTCCGCCGGAGGCAATGACTCTCGCAGTGCCCACCTGCGTGTCAGGTAAGGGCAGCCCCCCCCCCTGCAAAGGGGGGCCTAGGCCGCAACAGGAGGCTTATGTTGGCGGATGCCCGGGCCACATGTGACCTGGGTCCACTCCCCTCTGGGAACATACCCAAGCCTCCTCCAAGGCCTTCCCCGCCCCAGCTCAGGCCCTCTGTCAAGAGCAGCGGAGTCTGGGTATGGCTTTGGGCAGGGGGACCCCCGACCCAGAGAGAAGAGCCTCCAGGTAGATGGCCGTACGGCAGAGCACGAGGTTCAGGCTGAGCCCTGGGCGCCCGTGTGTCCCCTGACTGCAGGCCTCACAGGCGGCCCCACCACATCTCTCTCCTCCAGGCAGCTGCCTCATGCCCCCGAGCACCCCATGGCGACCCTCAGCACCGCGGAGAGGCGGGCCATCAACCTGACGTGGGCCAAGCCCTTCGACGGCAACAGCCCCCTGCTCCGCTATGTCCTGGAGATGTCAGAGAACAGTAAGCCTCCCCGCCCCGGCCGGCTGGGAACCTGGACTCGGGGAGTCGGCCCGGGGCCCTGGCTCTGGCTCCCCCCTCTTCCAAGTCCCGTGCCTTGGAGCAAACCTTCTGGAAGCCCCCGCTTCTCTGCAAAAGGAGCGTTGGCATGTGCCTCCCCGGTCGTTGTAACAGTTGCACACGATCAGGCGTGTGAGGGGCGGGACGCAGGGCCTGCCACTCCAGAGCCTCCCAGGTGGTGGTGACTTTTTTGCTTTTTATCCTCCCAAGACCCCAAGCTGTGAACTCCAAAATTAGCAGGCCTCCTTTGAACGGTGTTTTAAATACAGTTTGCCTGGAGCTCATCAATTTGAGGGGGAAAAAAATAAAACCTAGAAAAGACATGTGCATCTCAGTTCCCGTGAGCCCTTGCTTCCTTCGCCAGGACGCTCCAACCCCCTCGGACCAGTGGGCTAAGGGGACCCAGAAAAATGACGTGCCCAGCTTCTACTGGACCGAGTGGGGGAGGGTCTCTGCTGGCCCAAACGGCACTGGGCCTCTGCTGGAATGCGGGTAAGGAGCGTGGCCTCCCGGGATGCCCACCTCTGCCTCCACCCTCTGTCCTGGTAGATGCACCCTGGACCGTGCTCCTGGCCAGTGTGGACCCTGAGGCTACCTCGGTGATGGTCAAGGGCTTGGTGCCTGCACGCTCCTACCAGTTCCGCCTTTGTGCAGTCAACGACGTGGGGAAGGGACAGTTCAGCAAGGACACAGAGAGGTGAGGGGAGCAGGTGTTCTTCCAGAAGGGGTGTGGGTGACTCCATCGGAGGGAGGGGCTGAGGGGACCTCCAGCAGAGTCCCATGTGGCAGCATGGGGCCTGTGGGCTTCGGTGTCTGCGTCTGTGGAATGGGGCAGCATCACTCACACCTGCCTCACGGGGACGCCGTAAGGATGACAGGGGGCGAAACGGGAGGTGCCGTGAGCAGTGCCTGATGTGGGATAAGCACCCACCGGAGTTAGTGGTCCCTCTCACTGGGAGCTGGGCAAGTTCAGACTTAGCTCATTTCCACTCTCCCTCCTCATGGGCACCGTTACTCTCATGTGGACGTGAGGTGTAAGGGACCACGGGACCCACACAGCTCTCTGTATCCAGTGACTTGCATGCTGTCAGGGTCCATTAAGCTTTCAGCAGAGCTTTTACAAAATGATGAAAATTAAGTAAAAACAGAGAGCCATCCATTTTCAAACACCACCCGGTAAGACCCACTTATGTAGGAGGCGATTCTGGGCCACCTCAGGCCTGTAGGATGAAAGGTCAGAATGACAGCGACACAAATCCCATGCCCCCAAGCTGTGTGCTCCCCTTTCCTTTTTTATGTTTCTTTTTAATTCTTTCAGATTTATTGAGATGCAGTTAACACATAACATGGTGTGAGTTTAAGGTGGACAGTGTGGCGATTTGATACACTTAGAGAGTGTAGTAGGATTACCACCATGGTGTTGGCTAAGCCCTCTATCCCATCACAAAATTACCATTTCTTTTTTGTGGTGAGGACATTTAAGATCTATTTTGTGGACACTAAAGTCAATTTAGACACTAAGACCAATGGAACAGAATAGAGAGCCCAGAAATAAACACTCATATATATAGTCAACTGATATCTTTACAAAGAAACCAAGAATGTACTTGGCTCTTTAAAAGATTCTCTTAGGTGTGTGTACGCAGACCTCTGGCTTAAATCGCTTATTTGGTTCTGCCACAGTTCCAGTGAGCTTAAGTCTTTGTGGCTCTCGCGAGGGGGACTGCCACAGGGGTCGTGACACCCTAACCGGAAAGCGAGGTGGCAGGTAACAGCCTGGCAGGGAGGGTAACTACAGGAGGATTTATTCCCTCGCTGTTCGTTGAACACCTACTATGTGCTGGGCTGTGTGTAGACCATGAGGGGTACGGGGAACAAAGTGGATGCGGCCCCAGCCCTCCAGAACTACAAAATCCCAACAACAGAAATCCTCCAAGTGCCGGGAAAACCACCCCACTTTCTCCAGGTCTTTGGGCTTCACTTCAAGCCCCGATTCATCTTTCCTGATGAATCCTACTAATAGCCTTGAGTCACGAAGAAAAAGGTTAAATCACCCTCGCTCGCAGGCTTTACAAAGACATGGGAGTGTGCAGTACATTTTGGAAAGCTATCCATCAGAAAGCAAAAACATAAAAATAAACTGAAAGGGAGAGACATCCATCAAAAATAATTAACTTCTGTTTTTAATGGATGCATGTCAGTTAGGCGAACAATACACCGCAATGGAACACTGCGTCCCCTAGCAATGCCAGAGAAAGAAATGCAGTGACGCTCGCTTCCGGAAGTGGGGGATGGGCTTCCCCCTCCACGTGCCTCCCCAGCCCCACCTGGCCTGCCCTGCCCACAGCCTGGGGCTCAGCTGGGCAGGAAAGGAAGCCTCATCACGGGGCACCACCAGCCTGCAAGTGGGAAGTGACTGTTGAACACTCCTGCTTCTGAAATGCCTGAGGACTTATGACATCATCAGCCCCCACAGCAGCTTCTCTGACATCCGGGAAACTGAGGCACATGTCCCTCAACAGCACAGACAACACACACATCTGGGGCTTTGTGGTGTTGTAAAAGGATTCATCCATACATGGTGTTCCTTGAGCCTCAACCAGTCTTAGAAAGCAGCAAGTGGAGCTTTATTACACTCCTTTAAAAGATAAAAGAACAAGCTCAGAGAGGTTAAGCGACTTGTCCAAAAGCACACAGCAACTGTACAGAGTCATCCAGAAACAGAGCAGCCTCCTCGTATCCCATCAGACTCCTGTATTTGCCCTCAAGACTAAGAGTGGAAAGGCCTACCCACGCTTGATGTTTTCATATCCAGGGTCTCCCTCCCTGAGGAGCCCCCCACAGCCCCCCCACAGAATGTCATCGCCAGCGGCCGGACCAATCAGTCCATCATGATCCAGTGGCAGCCGCCTCCCGAGAGCCACCAGAATGGCCTTCTCAAGGGCTACATCATCAGGTAGGTACCCCCTGCCTCCCCGGGGAAAGGAGGGGCAGCCCCCACCCAAGGGAAGGGTCGGGAGTGGATCGGAAAACAGCCAAGTCACGGCAGGTCCTTCTCCATCTCACAAGGACCAGGCAACAAGAAATGGCTTCGCCCTGGTAGGAAGGACTCAGGTTAGATGTACAGAGGGACTTCCAGAAGGCAGAGTCTTGGAAAACAACGTGAAGGCTTGAGAGAGGAGGTACAGGGTAATGTCCTCAAGGCTGTGTGGATCGGCAGGTCAGCCACATGTCAGGGCTCCATAGGATAGGGCACAGGGAGATGGGTAACTATCTGAGGGGCCAACCATCCGGGAAACCAGGAATGCTCCATCTGAAGCCACCTACTGGGCCAAGGACAGTCAAACAGTGGAGCTCCTTTTGTTGGTCCTTATTGTAAAATGAAGCCCAGTTAAGGAGACTTTTATGTCTACACTTGACCAAGGGTACCTCACCAGTAACCTCAAACTGAGTTACTAAGTGCTACTAATTTGGTGTCATAAATTCAAATTAGCATAAGACTAAAGTTACTGAGCGTCCATCAGTATTCTGAATTCTGGCTGGCTGCAAAATGCACGTCTCTTTCCTGTATGTGTACACTCTCCCAGCACTGCTATGCCCAGATCTGGAAGGAGTTATTGTTGACTTGACTGCTCCATGATCCGTTAATTTTGTGGTGGGTTTTTGGTGAACCCTAATGGGGAGTGGCCCTCAAAGGGTGGTCCCTAGACCAACAGTGGCCTCAATTTGAATGCAAACTCTCAAGTCCTACCCCTGATCGTGGGAAACTTTGGGGTGGGCCCAGCAACCTGGGTTTCAACAAGCCCCCTGGGTATTTCTGATGCATGGTAAGTCTCTGAGAACCACTGCTATGGGGTCTTGTAACACATCAAAATAATCTGGGGCCTCTAATTTTCCAATAATGTGTGTGTTGTGGTTCTCCTATGAGCTATCCGTCCCCCCATATTTTGCCCATACAGACCCCACTTCTGTATTACCACGTGTTCTTTTTCCAGTGGAAGGTAGAAGTTGATAGAGTAGGTAGCTCAAGTTTGTTCTTTCCCCCTAAGTGAGTGACTGTCAAAAGAGGGAGCCACTCCTTTGGAGGGACAAAGAAAATGGGCCCAACCTTCGGACGTGGCTCTCCATCAATGACCCCTCCAAGGTGAGACCAATGTGATCTGCCCAGAAACTCTTAGTGTCCATGGTTAGCCAATCTCTCCGATGTCCAACTCCATCAAAAAGAACAGACACATCCTCTAGACCTGTGGTTATTTAATTTAAAATAAATAGAAGTACACGTTCCCAGCTGCACCAACCACATTTCAAGTGCTCAGCAGCCTTGCGTGCGCGTGGCTGCCATGTTGGACGGTCCGGGTATGGAACGTTTGCAGCATCACACGCGGTTTCCTGGGCCACGTCCTGCCTTCCTCCCCTCAGGTACTGCCTGGCCGGGCTGCCCGTCGGGTACCAGTTTAAGAACATCACGGACGCTGACATCAACAACCTGTTGCTGGAGGACCTCATCATCTGGACCAACTATGAGATCGAGGTGGCCGCCTACAACAGCGCTGGGCTGGGTGTCTACAGTAGCAAAGTCACCGAGTGGACACTGCAGGGAGGTGGGTGGGGATCGTGACCGCGGGGGAGCTGGTGCTTCTCTCTCTCCCTCCCCGGCCCGCACCTGTCGGTCCTGTACCTGTTTCCCCCAGTCCTGAGCTATTGCCCGCTGTGCCTGGCTACCCCGTAGGGCGGGAGGGTGCCGAGGGGCAGAGGAGTTGTGGGGGGGAGCATGATGAGGGCAGAGGCTTCAGGGGTATGGGGACCTTCTTCGGAGTCCGTGTTATTGAATCATGAAACGGCTCGCGTCCAGGATTGTACATAACAACCTCCCCCAAGCACGTTCCTATCCACCACTTCTGTTTATTGGTACCTTGTGAAATGGGTCAGGCAAGTGTTATTACACCCAAACTAATCGAGAGAAAGAGGGTGCCTCAAGTCCACAAAGCAAAGGGGGGAGGGGGCGGCACAAAGCAGGAGCTGCAGACCCCATGCCTGTGTTTTCTCTACTTAACTGGGCAAGACTGACTTCGCTCCCTGCGCCGCCCCCCTCACCCCATCCCTCTGCTCTCCTCCAGTCCCCACCGTCCCTCCTGGCAATGTGCACGCGGAGGCCACCAACTCCACGACCATCCGCTTCACCTGGAATGCCCCCAGCCCCCAGTTCATCAATGGCATCAACCAGGGCTACAAGGTACGTGAGGCCTCGCCCTGCCCCAGGAGAAAGGCTGGGGATTCTCTGAGGGAGGCCGCAGGCCGAGGAGTGGGGAGGAGGTGAGGGACCCCCTGTGCTTCCGAAATCATTGGTTCAAGCCAAGCAGAGGACACGTGATCAAGGTGAAAGGCATGCAGGCTCTCTCTCAGGCCCCTTCCAGGCTGGGGGGGGCGGGGGGGCCGAGGGGGGTCTGGACACTGCCCAGCCTGTGACCCAGTGCAGAGGAACTTTCTCGGAGAGATTGGGTTATAAGCAAAACCAGGTTTGTTTCAGGCTCAGGAATACTTGGGCATAGCCGTGGCCTCAGAAAAATCCAGAACCCACTTCCTCCTGCCAAGCTGTGGCTCTTTTAGAACCACACATGTCCGTGGGCTGCCCTTGACCCCACAGAGAGTGTGGTTAAGGGAACGGGACTGGGACCCTGACAGATGTGGGTTTGAATCCTGGCTCTGGTTCTGCCCCTCGCTGGCTCCCTGGACACGTCCTACAGTCTGTCTGAGCCTTGCTCCTTCGATAAACGCTGATTGAGCCCTCCTGTGTGTACCGTTCTAGCTGCCGGAAAACCAGACTAAACTCCCATTCCCTCATTTGCGAGTGAGGGTGATAAGAACGCCGATTCCTTAGGGTTGCGTGAGGATCAAATGAGAGAATATTCGTAACTCGATGAGCACAGTGATACACACCTAAGTGCTCTGTGAGCCATCGTAGCCAGAGTAGGGATGCGTTCGCCCGATCAGGCGGCCCTAACCAGGTGCCACCGTCTGGGCGGCTCCAGCAACAAAAATCTATTTCCTCCCACTCCCAGAGGCTGGCAGTCTGAGATCCAGGTTTGGGCAGGGCTGGTTCCCTCCGAGGCCTCCATCCTTGGTGCACAGGTGCCCCCTTCTTCCCCGTGCCCACGCGTGGTCCCTCCGCTGCGTGCGTCCCGATCTCCTCTTATAAGCATGCCAGGACTACGGCCCACCTTACTGACCTCATTTTAACTTCGCTGCCTCTTTAAAGACGCTCTTTCCAAATACAGTCACATCCTGAGGCCCTGGGGGTTAGGACTTCAACATGTGAGTTTGGAGGGGGGACGCAGATCAGTCCATGACAACTAGCATAGCAATAATAGTAGCAGGTGTCGTTCAGCTGCTGGTATTGGTAACAGGGGCAGCAGCGGTGGTAAATCTATCATTGTAACCGCGCTGCAAGTCAGGCCTTCCCAGCCATACCCTCCGAGATCCCAGACCTTCCTCCCACGTCTGGGTCTCTGCTCTCACCCCGCAGGGAGCACCCTGCCAAGCTCCCCTAAGAGAACAGAAGACAGATTGCACAGCGCGCGGGGTGTGCAGCTGGGGCAGGAGGGAGGATGCGGTCGGCCCCCTCCAGATGTGGGAGGGCAAGCAGTGCATTTGAGGGGTGTGCCCCAGGGAAGCAGGCCGTGAGGGAGAAACACCACAAGCTCTGGCTTTGAGCCCAGGGATCTGGTGACCTTGTGATGACCGCCGACACTTCCAGAAGGCTCCTGCTCTCGCTCTGGTCCACGTGTGCACGTGCGGGACAAGCGAGATGATTTCTAGGACTCGCGGCCTTAGCCGTTATTCCTGCGAGTGGGGGTGAGGAGGCTTGGGCAGAAAGGGACTGAGATTAAATCACCAGGAGAATTTTCTGCTGGTGTTGCAAAGAAAGGAGGGACGGTCTAGAGCTGGGTACGGCCCTGCCACAGCCCTCTCGCTCCCAGGAAGGCAGGGCACCAGGCCGAGCGGGGCTATTCTGGGGCAGGGGGCTGCAGCTGACTGGCTGGCCAGAAAAGCCTCCTAAATGGGGCTCTGGGGGAGGCAGGGGAGGGGAGGGGAGGCTTGCATAGCTCTGAGAGGCAGAGGAGCTGAGCTGGGAACAATTAGCTTCTTGCTGCCAATTCTGAGTTTTCTTTCACAAATTGGGGGTGGGGAGGATGGGGCTGGGCTGCAGACTTCTAAGGCAGATGGCTCCTGGCAGGCCAAGTGGCCAGGACCGTCAGGGCAACGACCCAGACAGAGCAGGAGGAGCCTGCAGAGGTCCGCCTGACTGCCAGGTCTGCTTGGCGCCTAGCACCGTGGCTGCCCTGCAGACCTCCACAGGATGAACTGCCCAGATATGTTGAGCGCAGGAGGGCACTTTCACACTTGGCAGGGCACTCTGTGCAAGCCTGGCAGGAGGCTGAGGCTTGACTCACATTCTTCTCCCAGAAGAAGGAAGTCTTTTATCCTCACCCCATTTCACAGAGGAGGAAACTGAGGCACGAGAGGCAAGTAACTTGTTCAAAGTCAGAGTAACTGCAAAGCTCAGATTCAAACTTCAGAGTCTACACCTTTTCTTGCATTAAAAAGAAAATGCGTCGGGCCCCTGGGTGGCTCAGTTGGTTAATTGTTGTACTCTTGATTTCGGCTCAGGTCATGATCTCAGGGTCTTGGGATCAGCAGGGAGTCTGCTTAAAGGATTCTCTCTCTTCCTCTCCTCTGTCCCTCCCCCTGCTCACACACTCTTTCTCTCTCTGTCTCTCTAAATAGGTAAATAGATAACATTAAAAAAAAGAAAATATGTCCTGTGATTTAACTGTAAAATAACAACTGTGCCTTGATTTTTTTTTTCTAAGTACAAATGGATTCAAGCAGGGATTTTGTTTCTTGCTGCTTTGGGCTTCAGCATCACAGAGAGAAAACACCAGTGCATGGTCTTTGCGTTCCTCCAATGAGAATGGACCCCCCACCCCCTTGGAATTGTTAAAAATTTTCAAACATCTACCAAAGTAGAGGGAAAACAGTAATAACTTTAGAAGACCTAATGTATCCCAGCTTCAACAATTACCGGCTCATGGCCAAATGTGTTCCATTCCCCAACCCTCTGACTCTGCCCTCGAATATTGTTGAGCAAATCCCAGGCCATCGTATCATTTCATCCGTAAATACTTCTGCCAAGAAGTATTGTAAAGCCTCTGTTTCAAACACAGCCACAGTACCCACACTGTCGTCATCGTGCCTAAAAATATCAACAGTCCCCTTGATGTCATCAGATAGGCAGTCAGCACTCACATTTCTTTGACTAGTTGCTTTATTTGCTTCAGGATCCCAATGAAGTCCACACGACTGCAATTGATTGGGTATTTTTTAGGTCTCAGCTGATCTATAGATTCTCTCTCTGTCTCCCTCCCTCCCTCCCTCCTTTCTCTCTCTCTCTTTCTTGTAATTTATTGAGTCAAGAAACTTAATCATTTGCCCTATAGAATTTTCCACAGCCTAGATTTTGCTGATTGCCTCTCTGTGGGGTCATTTACCACATGCCTCTGAATGCTGTATTCGCAGTAAATTGGAACTTAGAACTAGAGCCTTGATCAGATTCAGGTTTGATGATTTTGTGTTTTTTTCCCAAATATTATTTCCTAGATGGTGCTGTGCATTTACATCAGAAAGCATAAAGTCTGGCTGTCTCTCTTACTATCGTGTGGTGACCATTGACCACCCTGTGTGATCTATTATTTCAATAGGGTTGCAAAATGGGGACAAATATTATAATTTCTCCTTGGTGTATTAGCAGAAACGTTTTCCAGTAAAAAGAATTTCCCCCTTACCAACTCTTTGGTTACCCGAAGGTTCATTTCGTCTAGGAAAAGCATGGTCAAAACTCAGTCCTTTTCCATCACTTACCAATTTTCAGAGTAATGAATGTCATTCCTTAGCATCTTCTAAAGTGCCAGATGAGTTTGGATGGGGGAGGGGGGACATCTTTTTGTTTTATTCTTGATGTATTATTATGTACTCGAGGATTTTTAGCTCATCTGGTATGTTTCAACCCATGGCTGTTATTATTCGTGTTGATGTCAGATTGACCCATCGTTGGCCTCTTTGGTTGCTGAGTCCTTTTGACAGGGCCCCGGTAGGCCGATAGCTTCCTTATAGTCTGACAGGATGGTCCAAGCTGTGTCCAGTTCCTGCGCCGTCCCTGGGATCAGCCATGTCTTCAGGGAATCTTGTTCTTTTCGGTCGGAAATAATAATTGGACACTGCAATCCAGGCACGGGGTGCTCCTTATACCAGCACTGGAGGCTGTTTCTGGGCTCTGTTAATGGACAGCTCAGAAATGCTTCTCCTTCTCCTCCTCCTTCTTTTCAGGTAAGACACATAGGGATTCTTCCAACTCAATTTCAGGGCTATAAGCTCTTTAATCATCTTATTGGTCTTTTGTCTCTCTTTTCTCCATACTGAAAATCCAGTTCCTACAACACCAACGTAATTACCTGCTTCCTTTATCCCAAAAACACCCACAACAGTTTCAGAACAGTCATCCCACCACGGTGACAACCGAAGATCGTGTCAGATTATTTACAGGGCTTTCCGTTCCTAGGGTGTATCCCCACTACGGATGTCCTCCCCCTGGCTGGGCTACAAAGTCTCTGGAAATAGTTTCTCTCTGTGTAAGTTTGCTACAGCTCAATCCACCGTTAGGTTCATTTCTTTCATTTTGGTTTTGAATTTTAGGGACTGATTTTTTAATTTAATTTTGTTCTATAATTATGGAACATATTTACGTGGTTCCAAATTAAACATACAAAGTAAATTCACAGAAAATCAGCCTGAATTCTGGTCCTTTCCCTCCCCCGTAGGTTTGGTTTCTTTTTGTTTGCTTGGTTTGGTTTTTTCCTTTCATTTCTTTAATGTAAGCAAATGCAAACGTATATAAATGTGTGTTGTCCCCTTCTTCCATAAATGACAGCCCACTCTATACACTTCCTCCATCTTGCTGCT